CTACCAGCATTTCCTATCTTTGGTTGTATATTGTTACACATTCCTATTTCTCAGATTCGAGAACAACCTTTCCCTATCTGACATACTCTGGGAAAACTGAGCGACCACCCTCCTCATGCCCAATCAATCCCATCCCAAGTTTGCTAGAATACCCCCTCCTTTCTTGCTGTCCTTTCCTCAGCAGGGAAAACCTTTAAAAAATTCCAATAGGCTTTGAGAACTGAAGACTTGCATAGAATTTTTTTTAAGAGCATACTGTGTACAATTTAGCACTATTTAACTGCTTTTTTATATTTTAATTACATACTTTGCACTGTTTTCAATATTGTAAATAGCCCATTTTAAAATATTTTAATACGTTTTAATTATATTGTATTTACTTAAATTTGTAATTAGACTTGAGTCTAAAGTGTTCTCTAGCCTGAAAACCTGGGTACTCCAATGTGCCTTCAATGATTTAATGTAAGACACTCCCTGGCCAAACTCTGCATAAAATGACCTCAGAAGCACTTTATTTTATGGTTCGAGTAATTGAATCCTTCCTCATCCTCGGATCCCCCTTCCCAACAATTTTGCACTGCCCTATCTCCCAGTGTTTTAAATTTTAAAATTTTAAATTTTATCCTTGAATTTGGCCCCACCCAGTGTAATTCCCTTGTGTTTTAATTGTTTGATTTTACATTGCTGTGTCATGTATTATATTGGTTTTGCATTTTATGTATTTTATTTTCTTGTTTTGTTATGTTTTTGTGTAATATTGTGTTTGTTGTACTGATGGGCATGGCCTCATGTAAGCCACCCTGAGTCCCCCTGGGGGAGATGGAGCGGGGTATAAATAAAGTTGTTTATTATTATTATTATTATTATTATTATTATTATTATTAGCCATCCCCTGCCAAGCGTTGCTGTGGCCCACATGGGGGTTTTGTGTGGGAGGTTTGTCCCAGTTCTATCATTGGTGGGGTTCAGAATGCTCTGTGATTGTAGGTGAACTATAAATCCCAGCAACCACAACTCCCAAATGTCAAGATTCTATTTTCCCCAAACTCCACCAGTATTCACATTTGGACATATTGAGTATTCGTGTAGAGTTTGGTTCAGATCCATCATTGTTTGAGTCCACAGTGCTCTCAGGATGTAGGTGAACTACAACTCCAAAACCAAAGGACACTGCCCACCAAACCCTTCCAGTATTTTCTGTTGGTCATGGGAGAACTGTGTGCCAAGTTTGGTTCAATTCCATCGTTGGTGGGGTTCAGAATGCTCTTTGATGGTAGGTGAACTATAAATCCCAGCAACTACAACTCTCAAATGACACAATCGATTTTTTTGAGTGAAGGACATACATTAGGTTGTTAGGTGTCTCGTGTCCAAATTTGGTGTCAATTCGTCCAGTGGTTTTTGACTTTTGTTAATCCCACAAATGAACATTACATTTTTATTTATATAGATTAGCCTATAAATCCCTAAATGGTTTCGGTCCAGCTTACTTGTCTGAATATATCTCCCTTTATGATCTGGTGCAACTGTTAAGATCTTCCGGGGAGGCCCTGCTCTCGGTCCCACCTTCATCACAAGTGCGGTTGGCTGGGACACGAGACAGGCCTTCTTGGTGGTGGTCCTGCGGCTGTGGAACTCCCTCCCTAGTGACATCAGAACAGCCCCCTTGCTCTTAAGCTTCAGGAAGAATATTAAGACCTGGCTATTTAAGTAATATAATCCATAAGCATGGTGGAAGAACGGCAAAGCAATTGGTTCAATGTTTACAAAGCTCAGTTGGTGCTAGATTTTGGAAATGTTTTATATGTTTTAATCATTTGAAAGACTATTTTAATTGATATGCATATGTTTTTTGCAGTTTTATAATACTGCGTTTTACTGATATTATTATTGTCCGAATCCGGCATTGAATTACTGCCACCTGCCACCATAGTTTATAAGCCACCTGAGTCCCCCTTCAGGGTTGAGAAGGCAGAGTATAAGTACAGTAAATAAAATAAACTTAGGCCATGAAACTCACTGGGTGACTGAGGCAGGTCACACTCTTCTAGCTTCAGAGGAAAGCAATGACAAGCCTCTTCTGAACAAACCTTGCCAATAAAACCTTAGGTTCGCCATGTTTCAGAAACACACAAGCTGGTTTTAGGGCAGAGCTTTGCTTCACATTTTGTTACAGCATTTTATCCCCCTCGATGGACTGTCACCTTGTCGTGGTGAGGGGGCTTGCGTGTTCCGATGAACCTGTAGGCACAACAACTGGAGTCGTGCACTCCCAGGAGTGGCTGCGGGGGAGGTCCCAGACCAAGCACAGTCCGAAGACCCAAAGACCTCAACGGCGGAGCAGGCGGAGGATAACATGGCACATGTTACAACGGCTGCGAAGGCGGAAGAAGGCTGCAACAGACTGAGAAGCCACGGTCATTGTGTTAAACTACATCACCAGTGGAACCTCACTCTGTGAAGTCTGTGTGTTGATCAGTTGTGCACTGACCTCCACACATTAAAAAAAACCCACGCCCAGGCGTCTTCCAAAGAAAATAAAAACAAACCAACAAAAGTCCCATGGCGATCAGCGAGTGGCGACGGGGGAAGGACTGTGAAATCTGGAAGCCCCTAGTCACAGACTGGCACATGGGCGGTGGGTACGGACTCAGTCGTTCTACCTCAAGGTCCGAGGCAGTTGAGTAGTTCGGCAGCTGTATCCGCGACTGAGCAGCCCTTTTGAGGACCCACTCTGCTCACCCCACATGGGGAGGGGGCTAGAAAAGGTGCCCTAAACATAGTCTGCCTCACTTATCCCTGACTGGACTGCCGCGTCCAGTGGGGTCACCACCCTGCGGCCAAAAAAGAAAAATGAACTTCGGTACACGGAACGTACGGACACTGATGGACAACACTGACAGTGAACGCCCCGAACGCAGAACTACCATCATTGCAAGGGAGCTGGGGCGCTTTAACATCGACATTTCAGCACTTCAGGAGACCCGGAAAGCTGGAGAGGGACAGCTGAAGGAAGAAAAGGGAGGCTACACCTTCTTCTGGAAGGGACTGCCCGAAAAACCAAAGAATGCACGGAGTTGGCTTTGCCATCAGGAATGATCTGGTGAAACATCTGTCCGAAGCACCCACTGGCATCAACGAACGACTCTCAACCTTCCAAATCGATCTTGCCAAAAACCAACGGGCAACCATCATAAGTGCCTATGCACCAACACTAGATGCTAACGAAGACATCAAGGAGAAATTCTACTGTCAGCTGGACACCGTCCTATCGGGGATACCTAAGGAGGACAAAATCATCCTCCTGGGGGACTTCACGGCAAGAGTCGGCCGAGACTTCGACCTGTGGCCAGGGACCATAGGAAAAGACGGGGTTGGAAACAGCAACTCAAATGGCATCCTGCTTCTCACCAAATGTGCGGAGCACAACCTTGTCATCACCAACACGCTCTTCCGCCAGAAAAACAAGTTCAAGACATCATGGAAGCACCCCCGGTCAAAGCATTGGCACCTCTTAGACTATGTAATCACACGTGCCAGAGACCGCCGTGACGTGCTCCTCACAAGAGCCATGACAGGTGCTGACGACTGCTGGACTGACCACAGGCTAATTCGATCCTCGATGGCTATCAAGATCCTTCCCAAGCGCAGACTCCAAGGAAGGAAGACAAGGCGCAAAATGAACACCCAAGCCCTTCAGAAGCCCTCCAGACAAGCCCATCTCCAAACAGCACTCAAGGACCATCTACCCACAGTACACCCCGAAAATGTTGAGGAACATTGGAACAAACTGAAGACCTCCATCATCCAAGCCTGCGAAGAAACTATTGGATACCAAGCCAAGAAACATCAAGACTGGTTTGATGAAAATGACATCGAGATCCAACAGCTAATTGACAAGAAAAGGAAAGCCTTCCAAGCATGGCAGAGAGACATCAACTGTGCAGCTAAGAAAAAGATCTATGCCAGTGCAAAAGCTGAGGTCCAAAGGTCCAAGAGAACTCAAGAACATCTGGTGGACAAAGAAGGCCGAAGAAATCCAACACCTGGCAGATACCCATAATGCTCAGGGATTTTTCAAGGCCACAAAGGTCATCTACGGACCAAGAAACCATGGCATACAGCCTCTACGCTCATCAGATGGATCCAAACTCCTGAAGGACCAAAACTCAATTGCACTACGTTGGAAAGAACACTACCAAAGCCTCCTGAACCGCAGCTCCAATGTGGCCGAAGAGGTCCTCTCACAAATCCCACAACAACAAACCAGGGATGAGCTTGCAGCACTGCCCAGTTTGGAAGAAGTCAGCAATGCCATCAGCCAACAGAAAAATTACAAAGCCAGTGGACCAGACGGGATCCCTGCTGAAATCTTTAAAGAGGGAGGACCTGAGCTGACACACCAAC